ATGGTTTAGCTCTAACTGTAAGTCTGAAAACCGAAGGATCACTTTAATGCCTCCTAGAAGTTGAACAAAGAGATGCCATTTGCATCCAATTGTTAGCCAAGGAGCATTCTGATCACTGAAGCTTTGTTGTATGGGCACAGTGGCAAAGGAATGATGGAGACAGACAGATGCTTACTGACTAACCACAACTCCTCTCTCATCATCATTAGAGCTTTGACCACTTACCTATGGGGTCCCTCATCAAGAACTTCCAACATCACTTCCCACTTAAAATCTAAAGAAAGCATCTAATTAAAAAAAAAAAAAAAACCACTGTCCTCATTGCACTCCAGTAGCCAACCTTGCTTTCTTCCTCCCTTCCTCAGGGTGTCCAGTGACTCACCTGGTCACAGGGAATTCTGAAGGCTACCCAGGTGATAGGCTCTCCACCCACTGGCTTACTGCTGGGCAGATACTTCTTGAGAAAATACTTCCATTACATCAACTACAGGTAGTCCCAGGTTACCAGATGCGTTCCTGTGTCTTAAGATATTTATCGGTCAGTCAGAACAGTAATTAGCCTTACTTTAGTGCGAGAAAAGGCTCAGAGTCTTCATTGATTTAAAAGCTGCAAATGCAGCGGTTGTGATGAATTTGCTGTGAGTAGGGGTTGGTTCAGTTGTTTCCAAGTGATGGCAAATTTACCTAACATTAAGGATAAGAATGAGTTACTGGCAAGTTGGGCATTCAGGACGAGGGGACTACCTGTATTTTCCCTCTAGCTACCCTCAAGCCAGGGCAGGTTCCTATCTGCTTAGCATCCCTTCTTCTCCTGATGGGCTAAACCTTGCCACCTGCCTTTTATTGCCCTCTTCACTCATTTAGATGGCTTTTCAAAAGACTGTCTGTATATACATTCCCCACTGAGAAAACAAACAAGACGGCAAAAGTAAAGTTCCCTCATTTAAATACTACCAGTTTGGAGGGTAATACAAGTAATTATTTTAAGGTCTAATGTATCAGAAGTTAAAAAGGAAGCTCTTCAGAAAAGAGGTGTGTCCTTGGAATGATGTGTTTCAGCTCGCAGACGTAGGGTAGTCTATTGCAGCTGAATTCTGTTTACTCTGATCGTCAGTCTAACTTAATGCTAATAGTCCTGACACAAGTTAGGACTATTCAGGTCAAACCAGTTAGCAGCATGTCCAGCTCGACCTGGTTACTGGCTTCTTCATGTTTTCATCGCCAAGGGCCCGCATTCTTACATGCTCGGCATGTATCTGGGGAAGAAGGTCACATTTTATTTGATGAGAACCTCGTGCAGTTTCTCCTGAGTAAAATGGGGAGAATGTGTATGGGTCTGCTCCTTCTTTCGACTCAATGTACACTTTAACGGGGCTGTTAGTCAGCCAAGTGCCTTTCTCCCCATACCAGGAAGATGCTGGAAATTCACAACTAAATAAAACACACTACACAGACAGTAGCACCATCGCTCTGAAGGTGTTAACAAAAAATGTCATTTTTCTGAGAAGTGAAACATAAGACACTTTTACAACTTTAAGAGGAATTGGGGGGGGGGAGGGGAACCGGCACCTGGAATGGATCCCATTCGGTTGCCTTTTTAACACACAGTTAATAACAGGACAAGGCATGTCAACATTTTTAGCACATCCCTGAAGCTGAATGACCTATCTTTTCTTGCTCTTTTGTTACACACATACCATGCAGATATTCCCTAAAGCAGGCTAAGTCTTTCTGGTCTAAAAAATGCAGTCTACAAGGGTCCACAGGAAGCTTCACCACCACCTAGAGAATCTGCACATTCAAAAGACTACTAAGGTTTGTACTTGTCTTGAGGGCACTAAAATCCATCAGATGGAAAAGGCTGTTTAGAAGAAAATCTGCATCATTCGTTTTTAGCTAACATAGAAAGGATGCAGCTAGAGAGAAACTGTTTAACCAGAGGACACACCTGTGGCAAAAATAAGTGGGCAAAAACATTCACTAAGTCCAGTGCTCTCCTCCTTTCCATCTGTAAGAAGACTTGAGGCTGCCATCTTAATCAGAATCAGCGTGAAGCCAAGATGCCACTCTCAGGCACACTCCCAAGAACAAGCCACACTTTGGGACTAGAAGAATGTACATTTCACGATTGTACATTTTATGTACATCTCTTTTCATGCCTCCCCCTTTAAGCAAAAAGGTTTTATATTGAAAAACAAACAAACATTATTTTCCCCTTCTAAGGCCATCCTGACAATTGGGCACTTGAGGTGCAAAAGTAGAAGCAAATAGGGAGGTACCAGTGGTCCAGGACTTAATGCCATGTCTCTGACCAAACACAGGTGAACATTCATGGTTCCGAGCAAGGGAAATTCTACTTCTACAGTTGAATTACTTCGGAACTTTTTCTAACTGGCTAGATACGTGAGCTAGGTATGTGGCAAGCGCGTAAACATATTTGTTCTAAGTCTGGTTGATTTGCTGATGTGACCTGCTGACAGCTATGCAATTCACTCCCTAGGACCATTTGACCTTTTACTTGACATTAAACAGGCTAAACATTGATTTTGCACAAGATGAGTTCTAATATCTCAACCAAGAGTGTAACTTCTAAAAATTACCGACATAAAAAAAATGTGTATTTATTTTAATAAAACTAGGTGTGACTTATTCTGGACTATGCATACTAGCAAAACCAGTGTTTCGATCATCTTTTGTTGGAATGCTAAAAGTATTTTCCCACCCTTTTTGAATCTAACCACTTGTCCATGGGGCAACAACGCAACACAGAGAACGCTAAGAGGACCAAAATGTTTGCAAACAAACTTTCATTATTCTAGTTCAGTCTTTCACAAACATAACTGTACAGAGTCATATATGGTATAAAACAAAGGACAATATCTCTGTCTATTCAATTTAACACAACACCAAAATAAAGCAATTAAGACTTTGGGGTATTCAAAGGTACAAGAAAACAAAAATGGTTATTATGAATTCCTCAGCTTTTTACCGTAAACATTTGTCATTTAAAAGACATAGTGTTTGATAAGAGTTTCTTTTGTACTGCAGATACTTTTGGTCTTTTCTTACTATAGAACAAATGAAGAATTAAAGGAACCCCATAGCATCCTCTGAAGGAGATGAAAAGATGAAGCTCTCGGACACATCTAGCTTACCTTAAAAAAAAAAAAAAAAATCTATTGTTTCTGAAATTTTCACAAACAAAAATACTGAATTCTCAACTAATGATGCTTCTCTTTTTGGAAATAATAAATACTGTGAGGTACAATAAATCCTACAGGAATAACAACAACAGAAACATATTAACAGTTTCCTTTGGCAAATTTAACGGAAGTGAATGCTGATGTGAACGTAAAAAATAATTACAAAACATGAAAAATGGAAAAGACATGAAAAAGCGAAAGAGGGGCATTCCTAACCTTGAGACGGATGAGAGAAATGTTTGAGGCCATGAAATGCAGAAAAGAAATACATTCTCTTTCAGTTACTGTGTACTGTTTGCTGAAATACTCCTTGTTTCTCTTTTCCCGGCTACTTAAAAACAAAGGGGGGTAGGGTGGGGGGTGGGTGGAAGACAACACACCACAGCCAGCAATGCATACCCTAATGGATTTGGCTGCAGACTGAAATCGAGTAAATATCATCACTTAGTCAGTATGTCGTGGTAGCGATGTGGCTTACCAGTTCAGGCAACGTGTGTAAACATCGGAAACAAAACAAAACAAGGTTTGGAGAATAATCTCCCCGCTTTCTCACTCTCAATTACTTGGTTTCAGGCTTGCTTTCATTTCTCTCTGACAAATCATGTGGGGAAACACAAAACGCGAAACAGTGAGATCCTATTTGAAGCCCCGCGTCTTCTGACTTTGCAGAAAGGAGTGCTGCTCAATTCAAGTTCAGCGTTTATTTTCAAAGCTTCCCAATACTGTTGCTGCTAAATGTCTTTTTGATTTTTTTCTAGCAAACAGGCCTGAATCATAATACTGCTGCAAAACTTGCAGCCCTGTAAGAGACCAACTCAGTTCACCCTGGGTCCCCCACCCCCCAATTCTTTTTAAAGTCCAAGAGCTAGTATGTCCTTGGGAATGAGTGCTCAACTCTTTACTGCACTCAGCTTTACTCTACAGTTAAGTAATTTGGGCTTTTGTATCCTGATATGTTATCCTGCCTCTAAAGAATAAAATGTGTTGGCTGTTTCACACCACACGATTGTTTGCCTTTCATGTAACTTAACATATAAGCAAGAAGGATGCAATGATGATTCTAATAATATTCGGCACTTGAAAGAGTCCCCAAGAGGTTTTTGTTTTTGTTTTTTTTTCTTAAAGTGGTTTTCTGGTGGTCAACAAATTGGCCTGTGGTTATGTTGAGTGACTAATTATATTTTCTTTTCTGGAAACTTGTGCAAAGTTGGCAGCTTTGTGTTAATACTAATACTTTTGTTTGGCATTTGTGCCCTATACTGACCAGACCATTTTTATACAAGTGGATTTAAAAAAAAAAAAGACACTTACTTAAGTATGGCAATAGTTTAAGGACAAAAAAAGAAACAGGGGTATTACACATCCCCTTGTAGTGTATGAAAAAAAAGTGCATGACTGGATTTATGTAATAGTACAGGACATTTAAAAAAATCAAATTTGTGCTGTTAAGCATGCCAGCACCTCTTTATCACTATATCTAGCAGGTAGTAAAAACAAGACCAGGTTTTTTTAAAAAAAATGTGCATTAACGCTAACATAAATGAATAGAGCTAGCCAGCAAACTATTTTTTTTTTTTTCCTGCGTATCTAACAGCTGGATGTAACTGTAAAAATTAAACAAGTTAAACAACCATCAATACAATTGTTTTACATCATTGACCTCTCGAGGCCAAATATTTACAGGTGAATCTGCCATGCTTTAATTGAAGAGTCTTTCAAAACCTTAAAGTTCACAAAAGACAACTCTAAGAAGTTCCTTTTTTGTTTCTTTTTTTCTTTCATTTCCCCCCCTTTATTTTTTATTTTTGCAGGCAGCAGTCATAGGTACTACAAACTGTCTCTTTGGAAGTGACCAGTAAGTATTCTATCAAAACTGGGGCTATGTTCCACGCGCGTGTGTGTGTGTGTGTGGTCACAGGGGTTCTCTGTTTCCATCCCCAGATTAAAGGTCCCATCCCTTTCCCAAAACTATAAGAAAAAAAAAAAAAAAAAATCCAAAAGCACCTAGTTTCTTTTTTTTTATCTAAAGAAATGTTTGTGTGTATCTGTACACACAGAGGCATACATGTGTACACACACACACACATGCACACGAGTACACAAACACACTGACAATGGCAGTTCGGATGAGTAGGCCGTCTGGTGAGAGCTGGCATTCGTCGTGCCCATCTGAGACTAATCTACCGCAGTGAAGGGTATGTTTTTGTGAAGATTAGGGTTCTGACTATGCCGGTTTCGGCTGCGCACAGAGGAAAACATCATATTGCAACCAGGGACTTTGCATTTGTGCATCTCCCGCAAATGCACTGTTTTATAGTGCACCCTCAGGGTCCCCTTGTTGCTGTACATTTTGTGGCAAATGTTGCACATGATCCCACCATTGCTCCCGGACAAGCTGTTGAACATGAGCGATCCTGACACGTCAGCCCCTAGGCTGCCGGGGAGGGCCAGGGCCTCGGCCTTGTGTGCCGATTCTCCACTGTCACTCGCGCCATCTGTGTCGTCGAGAAGGATGCCCTCGTCGCTGCCCGCGTCGGACTCTCGGGAGGAATGCATGCTGCTGCTGGACTGAAGGCTGGAGGTGGTGCTTAGATCCAGGACCATGTAGTCCTCTGCCATGCCCCGCCCGTACCCATTCAGGTGGGAGTCTTCAGTCCCTGCCGGGGAGGAGGCCTCCTCCCGGACATCAAGCGCCATGGGGTGCTGGGCACCATAGATTTTCACCAAAAATTCATCCCGGAGGTCCTTGCTAAGGGAGGGCTGAGACGAATCAAGGCCCATGTCATCGAGTTCTTTGGTCAACAGTTTACGATGTAGATTTATGTTGGCACTGTGTCTAGGAAAACAAGAGACAAGGGGTGGGTGGATAGGGAGTGGGGCGGGGTGAGAAAAAGGAGGGCATTTTAAAATGGATTCAGCTTCAACTAGACAGCCAATAAGCACATTCATTGCTAATTGCACCATTATAAAAGCTAACATTTCCTTACAAGCTCAGGATTTGGGAATAACTGGCAGTTGTGGGGGTGCAGTAAGGGAGCTCCTATTAGCAAAATTTTTACAAGAGCGTAAAATTCTTCAATGGTAGGAGGAAGGCACACCCACGCACCTTTTGCTCAACGACCGTTCTGTTAGTTGTACTGCGTACGTAGCGGCTTGGGCTGCGAGGATGTCAGAGAGAGATTTTGGAGTATGTCTTAACTAGGATCCCACAGAAAAAAACAAAGTTTCTTTTTTGCCTAGACATAAAGTCTGTTTTTTATCAAGTAAATGTGCTTACATTTAAGTAGGCCAAATTTACTTTAGAAACAGTAACAACAACAAAAGCAAAGAGCTATTTTTCTAGACACACTTTAAAGGTATAAAAAAAGGGCCTATTAAAAAAAGTCTTGATAAGGTAAGTTTAATTTTAAACACTGAAACCTTCCTCCCCCATCCCCTTATAGTTCAAGTCTTAGAAAAAAAATTTTGCTTAATAGATAATTAGATATAGGGTTAATGCCTTTAACAACACAAACCCGCTTTTCTCAGAATGATGTGGGATTTCAGTTAAATCTAATCATAAAATACATTTAGTTTCAGAAGCTGTGGTATTTTAGTGTTGAAAATGTTTTCACTTAAGTATTTTAAACTCTTAAAATTTAAATCTGCAAAACAAAAACTAAGAAAGGGAAACTGATTCTTAAATAAATCCTACCCACCCTTTAAAGCAACAACAACAAAATCACATTAAGACAACAGAAGGGACCCAAAGGGACAAAATTAAAACACAGTAAGTACAAAAAACTCAAGCACATCACTAACATATGGTCCCTCCGTCTTAACAATTGGAACCCATACTTCTTAGACAAGCAAAACTTTTCCAATACTTGTAGAGAGCTTTGCTTGTGTAAAAAAATAAATAAAAAGGATTCATCCCAAAACACCCATAGGGAAGTCATGATTTACAAAGTCTGTTGTTACCATCCGTCTGAAAATATTGCCTTTGTATTAATATCACCCATGTATGTTTAAAATGCCTCTGGGCATATACCTCTCTCCACCTACAAAGGTTCACATGTTTGACAAGTACCTAAATTGAAGTCTACCCTTCCAAAAATATAAACAAATCAATAAATATACTGATAAAAGCTTCTCAATAATGATGGAAGCTCTAAATCATGAACAGTAATTGTGATGCTAGAAATGCCCTAAATGACCCATGTAAAGTTCAACAGACCTCCTGATTATAATTACACATTATGGAAGACCAAAATAAGTCACTCCATTCAGTGACAAACATGGCTAACATTTCCTAGAGATGGTTGAGAGGTATGTGCCTGAGAGACCAGAAAGGCGGGAAAGACTTCCTCCTTTCCACACAAGACAATATATATAGCACTCTGGTGTTAAAGGGCCAGAGGGGTGGCACCTCTGGACACTGCACTTAGGAAGGCTGAGCTTACCTTGTGATAATAAGATCAGCTTTCTAATCTTTTGCTAAATCGATCACAAAAGAAAGCAAGAATAAGAGACAGAGAGAGAGACAAAGAGAGAGAGAGAGAGAAAACAAATTCACATTCTAGACATCTGGTTGGTTTTTTAAAATTAATTTTTTAAACTTAAACAATAAAATAGGGATTTAAAATGTTCTGATCACAAAATCATTTTCTGTCATAAGCCATCATCTCATATGTTGTCTTGATGATTTTCAGATCAGCTGCATAATCCAAAAATCATAAATCAAATTAAGACAAACCAAATTCACAGCATCATCATCATCATCATCCATAAATGAATTCTGAACAGATGCATGCAGTGTGTAGAAATATGAATGATAAACAGAAGTTGTCCCTACGGTCCCTGGGTCCTGTGCTGACACACACAGTCGTTTCCCGTTTCCTTGGTGTCAGATGGCAGATGACTCCAAGTGCAGGTTACTAAGCGGAATGCAGAAAAAGCCTGCTGTGAAGTCTGACATGTGGAAGCAACACCACCGGTTAGGACGAGAATGTGGAAATCTAGCTCACTGTGTACGATGACTCTATTGATAAGACAATTTGCGAACTATAAGCAGCTCTTAAAATTCTACCCTCTGTTTATTACTTTTAACACCAGCTCCTCCCCCTTTCTTAACTTCCTAAGCAGAGATTTTGTGACAACAGTAATCTAGAACTCTGTGTTGCTTCTCACACATTTCCTTGGTGCACCGCTGAGAAAGCAGCAGCCAGACACACAGCAGGCACACGAAGACTCCATGCGTCAGAAAGGATACATTAACAGTGACAAAGGATACACTGATCTCTCAGATGGACACATCTTTCCTACGAAGACTTGTGAACTGACACATCTCCACTGGTATGTTACCAGGAGGAGATATTTCTCTTCAGTTCTCACTTACAGTAGAAATCTGTAATCTCATTAGATGATGTGCCCTCAATATCTGTCAACCAAATGATGTGCAGAAATGTGTAGACCAGCTCTGGCACTCTGATCAACAGGGTCCCTTTTCCGCTGTCAGCAGTACTGTTGGCCTCTCCTAATATAATTACATTGACTTTTATTCAATTAAGTGCCATCCTTTGCTTTAAAAAAAAAAAAAGCAGCTACTTTATCAATTGATTCAGGTGTAATGCAATAATAAGGATGAACTCATGGCAGTATATTAGCTCTGCTGTTCATAACTGTAGTATGTGGGTTCATTCATGGTAGTCAATTTCCATTATGCAACCACAGTTCAAGAGAATCGATTCTTTTATGTTCATTTCTTAATCTATTTCGTTTCTGTTTAATAATCCTCCTAAATGCCATATGCAAAACACTTGGAAGTAGGGATGAGAAGAATGAACTGCGGAAAGTCTTCTGATTCATTCTTATGATTGTGGGTTTAAGAGATTTCCTAACCAACTCAAACCATATTACTGGCATGCAGAAGAGGACAAGCAAGAGTCATAGGAAAAAGACTAAAATTATGTATAGAGTGCTGATCCTGCCCTCGAGAGGTTAGGGTGCAGCCGCCACAAGAATTGACAAAAGGTAGCACTTGAATTTAACACAGGCAGGTCAAGACTCTTCAATCAGTCAACCCAAACCATTATCTTCTATGAAAATACTGTCCTCATGAGGAGACAGAAAGACCTAGGGTTAACAGCAATTTGAGGAATATTATAAGTTTATTTGGATCAGCAAAAATGAAGAGGTGAAAGGAGGAGACTGTGGTAGAGACAAAGAAAGAACCCATCCCTACAATGAGATGGAGGGAAGAGGAGTCTGAAAGAGAAGGGAGACCAAAGAATGTGGATGCAGGAATCAGCGCCCTTAATAAAGGAAACAAAACTATACTGTATGTAGAAAAGGAAGCCTGGTAGCACACATGAGAGACTGTTGCTTTAAACCTACCCTGTGGTTTCGAAGGACGAAGACCCTGTTGATCTGCTCGCATACTGTTTACAACTCAGAAAACCTTACGTGGCAGCTCTCCTCCATCACATGGGTCAAAACCAACTCAACAGCACCTCACAAGTACAAGAAGGGATCCATGAAGTCACCAATTTTGAATTCTCCAGGGATAAAGATAATCATGACATTTAAAAATCAAATATAGTAGCTTTTGTAGCTTTTCTAGAAATACTAGAGAGTTCTGAATGTTTATCTCCAGAAAAGGGGGGGGGGGGGGGGGAGAGGTCAGACCGAAATCTACAAGATTATATTTTAATTTCTTGTATTTCACAGAATAAACAAAAACGTTCTTTGTTTCTACTACCTTTGATTAGGACGGTAATGCAGATATTTGGAAGGAAATTTTCCTTTTAGAAAAACAATGCCTAGAATGAAAGAGAAGGTGATTCTTAAACAGAAGTAAGGAACTGGTTTTCATAAGGATCTAGTCTTCAATACGGTTGTTGTTAAATGTCATACAGTTGATTCCAACTCACAGCAACCCTGTACAATTCCAAGGAGTGGTTGGTGGGTTTGAACTGCAAACCTGTGGTCAGTAGTCTAGTGCGTATTCTATAGTGCCACAGCACTTAATAAAACATTGGCCCAAAATTTAGGCCTAATATGGCCTCTTTCAATAAGAACACAAACTAGAGATATTATTCAACCTTGTGTTTCCCGCAGACCTAGAATACTTTGCACATAGCAGATACGTAAGTGCGGGAGGGACATGTGGCAGTCTGCTTTCACAAAGATTGTGGTTGTTAAGTGCCATCGAGTTGGTTCTGACTCATAGTGACCCTGTACAGGGTTTCCAAGGAGCTACTGGTGAGTTTGAACCACCTATGTCATGGTCAAGTGCTTACCCTGCAGTGCCACACCAGGACTCCAGCGGGATGACAGCCTGTGAAACCCTATGGAGGCAGCTCTATACTGCTCTATAGGGTTAAGAGTCGGAATTGACTTGACCGTCATTAGCGGAGGTGATGGCGTGTCTTGGAGTCAGTCCTCACTCACAGCAACCCTGAATAGGGTTTCCAAGGCTATAAATCTTTATGGGAGTAGGAAACCTTATTTTTCTCCTATGGATTCAAACTGCTGATCCTGTGGTTAGCAGCCCAACTTGTAACCCACTACAAACCACTGAGGCTCCTAATTGTGTTGGATCAATTATATCAGAAGTTTTAAAAAATTTCTCCCAAAACATCCTGCAAGAGGAGGGAAGACAGATCCTGAAATCAGAAGTGTGTGTATTTAAGACAGTATATAGAAAAGGGTAGTTCTGACCTTCAGTGTGCTACTACCGGATATCACATAGTGAGGGTTTGGGGAAGTTCTAGAAATTGGTCTATGGCTGGAAGAACCATGCACTCTTTCTTCCTTCCTTCACACTGTAAGTCTACCCAAAACTTCCTGAAATCT